CTTAGCAAAAGTTAACAATTTGTGGAGTTTCTCAAAAGGTTAAGTCTGTTTATAGCGAAATAAGTCTTTCAGACTATACTGCCCATGAACAATACTTCGGTTATGTTATGAAAATATGCGTTCCATTTTTATTAGACATAGATCAGTTTATAAATTGTTCAATAGTGCAACAAATAGCCTGTGACGTATGATCGGTAATACATATAGTATAGTAGAGGTGTTAAATACAAATTAAGAGTTTAATGCAAATGAATGATTTTGAATCGAGTTATTAGGTGCGAATGAGCTTATTATGTTATTGTTGCTAATGCTCATAATTTTTCTGTTTTTTTTTTTTTTTACATGGGCCTGCCCATGCCCCGACCCATGGGGGCGCCCGCCATGGGAGCTTCACCGGCCTTGGGGCTCCTTATTGTCTCATCGACGGACAGAATCATGCAAGCGGCTTCTGCAGCGGCACTCAAGGCATTAATCTTGATGATTGAAGGCTCCCACACGCACTGCTCGTAGTTGTCGGCAATGTCCTCCTTTGTGATGTCAACGCCATACCACTTGCCACCTGAAAATCAACAGAAAGGTAAGAAGTTAATAATTTATCTAGAAATTTGTTAAATTTTTAGCTTGCTCGAGCAACTTCGCCTTAAACGCCAAATGCCTTCAGAGTTCATTTTCATTCCATTGGATATAAGTATCAAAATTGTTAGTTTTTATCTTAAAATAAATGGCCAACAAGAAGTGCAGCGTAGCCACAACAAAAAAAACAAATTAAACGACCTGTACAACACAAATGTCCTTCAAAGAAACAGCCTAAGAGTTTAAAAAAGAAGCTGATTGGTCTGCAGAAATGCGCGCAGACCCAGTTATATCTGAAGAAACGCTTTCATCAGCCCCATAAACGCAAAAAGGAGCCGACAGAGCAACGCGTCTGGCGCAAAACGATTGCCCGGCCCAAGCCCAAGAAGGAGCTTCCAAAAATGTTTCGTCTTGATCGCACCACTGGCCTGCCCATGGACTATGAGCGCACCGCTGAATTTGTTATGCATTATGTTAATCCGCATCTGACACCAAAGCCCAACACCGAACAGCTAATGGTGCGCCTGCTGACAGATATAGTTGCCAATGAAATGGGAATCAGCGTTCCCGGCATGGCACAGCACGCGCTCAAGCACGAGATGAAGAAAGCCCAAACGAAAGCTAAGTTCTCGAAACTCGATGCCGTTCCGAAGCCACAGCAGTTTCCTTGGGCGGCTGGTGAGCAGTCGGTCCTTTTTAAATATATGTCAGCTATTGATCGCATAATATCCTCTGTCTTAGTCGAGGATGCAAAACGAACCGCTAGAGAGTACATTGGAAAAAGGAATTACATTACGGCCCTGATGGCTCTGCAAAAATGTCACTCCAATTCGTCGTCTAGGCTTAAAAGCCGTTGAAAATGTGCCAAATGTGTCGATGTTAAAGATTTATAAGGACTGTTAAATATTTTAAGTCTTAAAATATACTTGAATTTCCGTTTCTACTTTCTGCAACCGATTAGGACACATAACGTCTATAAAGCTTATTGGTCCTCAATTCTCCATTCTTTTAATTTTGACAAGATTTTTTTCTTGCAATTTGGTAAAACAGGAATGTTGCTTTTGAGTGTAGAATTAATAATAACAGGTTTTAGAACTTACCTTGGGCATGTTTTTGGCGTAACTTGTTGAGAATGTTGGTCGCATCGAAGCCAGCATTGTCGCACAGTTGACGAGGAATGATTTCCAGGCCCTTGGCAATGGCGGCAATCAACAGCTGCTCCTTACCGGCAATGGTGCGCGAATAGTCGCGCAGCACTTTGGAAAGTTCCATTTCAATGGCGCCACCGCCTGCCAAAAGAAATCAATCAGTTATACACTCTATATCGTATTGTAAATTGCAAACGTACCGGCAACGACTGAATCGTGTTTGATTGTTCGGCGCACAATCATGATGGCATCGTGCAGGGAACGCTCTGTCTCCTCCAAGAACTGCTCAGCACCACCGCGTAGGATCAATGTGCTGGTCTTGGCATTGGGACAACCTTCCAAATAATAAAATCAGTCATTAGTTAAGCAAACTATACTGCTCCGATAATGAAATATTCACCTTGGAAGAGATTGAAACGTTCGCCGCCCACTTGGCGTTCAGCGAAACGCTCACACAGTCCGAGCACATTGGGACTTATATCGTTGGCTGTCGTCATCACAGCGCCACCACAAGCCTTCATTGTGCGCTTGAGATCCTCCTCGGGTACACGGCCGGCGCAGAATATGTTGCGATCTGCGAAATACTGTGTGGCCACATCTCCAATGGGCAGCTTAGAGAGCACAACATTGGCGCCTGATTCATGTATTTTTGCCAATTTGTTGTAGAGTATTTGCCATTCGGCATCCACCACCTTCTGATACTCCTTTACGTTATCCACGCGGATCTCGGCATTGTCGCGCTCAGCCTTCAGCTCCAGCTCAATGTTAAGCAATGCTATTTTGCAATTCTCATAGCCTTTGGGTGCCATCTCGAAGCCAGCATAGGAGAATGTCTTCTTAAATGCAACGCCTGATACAAGCTGCGACTCTTCCAAAGAACCGCCCGTTACTTTCTTAATGCCAATCATATTCAGCGGCAGGAGCTCATCCAGCGAGAGCACAGCATCTACCACCATTTTGGCAAAGAAATCCTTCTGCTGATGGATCAGTTTAGACGACATTGCCGTAGCCGCGCATTTCTCCAGCAAGGCACGCTGCTCTGTTTTCGATTGTTTTTCAATGTGAACGGCCATCTCGTTTATTTTGTCCATGCACAGTTGCAGGGCCTTGCGTATGGCTTTGATAACAATACGCGGATGCACGCCATCCTCCACGAAGGGCTTCACCTGTTTAAGGAACTCGCCGGCCAGCAGCACAACGGAAGTGGTGCCATCACCCACCTATAGTAACAAAATTATAAGTCACGTGCAAGAATATATGTAAATTGAATTTTCAATTCTCACCTCGGCATCTTGTGACTTGGCAATGTCCACCAATGTCTTGGCAGCGGGATGCACAATGTCCAGCAGCTTCATTATTGTGGCACCGTCATTAGAAATGGTCGCTTTGCCATGTGCATCAACAATTAGCTTGTCCATGCCGCGCGGTCCCAGAGTTGTCCGCACAGCGTCCACAATCGATTGGCAGGCATTTATGTTGGACACCAGTTGCGGCTTACCCTGCGACGTGTCGGTGCCTTCCTTGAGCAGCACAATTTGTGGTTGCTGCAGACATAATATATAAATTGTGATTATTAGTCAGATATGCTTTGTGTGACTGCAGCGGCAATTGGCCGAGAAGCTTCTTTGAAGGTTATGTTTACAAATGTGTGTGTGTATGTGTGAGAGAAAAATTAGCAAAGCGGCAAATGCAACCGACCATTGCACTAGACAAGCAAATTGCATTTAAATATGCCGTAATTAATATAAATTCATAGCAAATACTTAAAATTTGGCACACATGGGGAGAAACACGTTTAAAATGCTTTCGTTAATTTTGGATATTTTATTTGATTGCGGGCTTAACCCTTACGTTGGATATATATTTGCACAATAACTAACCATATTTAATTGATGATATTCGCCGTTACACGTTAATGTTGCTTAAAACAAACAATTTAGTAGCAGACAGGCGGCGAGAATATGAGAATTTCTTTCACGTTTTCCGCAATGAGTAATCGCTAGGGATGGAAGCAAGCTAAACGACTCGATACTTGAGGCGAGCAAGCAGTGCTGCTAACTGTTTGAAATACCGAAACACATGATGTCGCACGTGACGTCATTAGAGACCTATGAGCACGCGTATGACTTTAAGAACTCCGTTACAATGCAATGAACGTCAAAACTTGGGGATATCTTTAACAAAGTTAACAAATTAGGCAGTTTAATCACCAATTTTGATTGGTGGTGGCCTGCGCGCCTAAAACAGTGTTGTAAGGAGATCTGCGTTTGTCACTTGGTTTTAGAAACTTCAAATATAGATGTGTGCTCCCATCTATTTATATAAATTTGGCGATCTTCCACTGGTTGGTTGCACACGCATGCCGCCCATTCCAATTCAAAAATATATTTGTGCGTTTTTAGTTTGCTCCGACCGCTCAACTTGAGTGAGTTGTACGCTTGAGCAATTAAACAAAAAGAAGAAAAAAACAAATTAAGCCAATAAAGGCCAAATTAATATTAAATTATGGTTTCTAAAGAGCACATCTAAATCTAATTCTGTAACTTAGAACTGGAAATTTAGTTGCTTACAAAATACATTTGTGATCTCCACGATAAAAGTGTCATTTATGCGAAGTTGTGTGTATTGGAAAACAATTTTGCAAACTGCAAGCCAAAGTGATTACGAAACTGTACACATAAGAAGTCTCTCTAAAGAAGTAAGTGTGAATTTGTTGGAGTTTTACAATTCTTCGCAGAATAACAGCAAGAATGGAGAGCTGCTCTCAACTTATTGGGGCCGAAATAATGCGTTTATGATCGACGACAGCTTATTGGTGCCAAAATAATGTGTTTATGATCGACGACAGCTGCCGCCAAGCCGTTGACCTATTTGAAGGATTCATTCATCTTGCCATTAAGCCAATTGTCAAATTCCCAGCTGCAGCGTGTTAAGAATACCCCGCATACTAATTTGGGTTATAAATACATGACAAGCTTTCATGCATGAATATTCAAAACAAATATCCATTCGCCTTCAATCAATTACATCTTCCGGTTTAAGAACCGGAATGCACGCCGGCCAACACGCACAGCGGCGGCCAAAGCTTTAGCAGCCCCCCACCCCATTCCATTCCCCTTTCCATTCGCATTCCCATTGACAACAACCCCAAAGAATAGTAGTGCATTCAATAAATGCCAAAGCTTTCCTTAATTAAACAAAACGATGTGAAGATTCGAAAAGCCCTAAAAAGCTTATGCCGCCAAGTTAGTCAATCGGTGTCCGACCGAAACGAAAGATCTCCGCTGCCGCTAAGCAAACGAAATTTTTAATTCGAATTAGTTAATTTACTATAGTTTATTGCAATTATTATTAATTAAAAAATATACAACCACTTAACCACTTCTTCGACGAACTGCAACAATAACTTTACTTGAAATATTTAAGTGTAATCGAATTGTGTGTAAAGAATACTAGTTGAAGCATAAAACATAATAAAAAGAAAGCAATTTAACGAACTCTTTTAAATTAAATAAACGCAAAGAATTCTGCTCCACATACCGAACAATTTTTGAGTAAAACTGTACGCGCGCAGATATACTATAATTAACATATTGACGTCATTGCAAAAGCAAAATCAAAAGGCGAAAATATACACTGCAAGAAACAGTCTAAAACAAACAAACAAACACACAAACAAACGAGCAACAAAGAGTAAATAAACAGTTGAATGTATGTTTGTAATTAAGTAGCGGAGCAGCGAAAAAAACAATATTTCTCATGTCAATTACATGACATGCCAGAACTTGGTCGAAAAGTTTGCGCAAAGACTGCTATCCAAGGATTTTGAATGTAAATGGTGCGTATACGTGATCTTGAATGATTCAGCCCCAGACATCCGACTATACAGTATTTTATGTATATAAGTATGAGAACATTTTAACGAGGCATCCATTTTGCAATACACTATTTGTGTATTTCTTATTTTGAAACATGCTAACGAAATGAAAAGTGAAAAGTGTCAGAAATGTGGCAAAATTCTGTAGCTGTCCAGTCTATAGATGTGATGGCATGTTCCAACCATCTACCATCTGGCTGGGCTGAGGAAACAGTCAACAGGGCGGATTCGTGATGTCACCGCGTTGTAAATAAAATGGGAGCCGCAACCCGAACTCTGCTGATTAATGGCGCACAATTTTAATTTAATTAAATGCAGCATGAAATATTTCTCTGCGCAAAGAGTGGATCATATGAACGAGTTTATGAATATGTTATAATTTATTATAGTATTTAGCTGATAGACTGCGTGTTGCTTCCCAATTTCAATTCATATAGCACTTGTTTCTGTTGTTGTTCATGTTTCCAAGAGCATAATCCAATATTTTCACACACACTCGTACATACTCGCACATGGGATAGAGATTTTCGGCCTTGATTAAGTTGATCTGACGGCACTTGAGCAGAATCAACTATATATACTTTATATATAGTATAGTATATACAACTATACAGTAGAAATTGTCAAGGAGCGGCAAAATTAAACTGATTTTAATTGATAAAGAAATAGGAGCACAAATTAAAATCATCATCATAATTAAATTAAATTACGTATGTTCATATATTAATATTGATTTTCAACTTTATAGTTATTTGTTGACAAATGCGTGGTCTTAACTATATATACATATTTTTGCATTTATTTTCAATAATTGTTCTTATACAAAATTTCTTATTTATTTCTTATTACCTTCAATATTAATTTAAAGGCATTTTTCATTTATTTTGATATTTATTTTTAAAATTGATTTTTGTATTCATTTTGATATTTATTTTCGAAAACATTTTCATCTTTGATATCGAACCGATTTGATGGTTTATTTTAAGATTTATTTATTCATTTATTTATTTATTAATTTTTATGTTGATTCTTAAATTGACATTTTTTATGTTCCTATATAATTGTATATTTTTATATCACACTTCTTTATTGTTTATTTTGAAACTGATTATCATATTCGCTTTATGTTGTTCTTAAATTGTTTTTTTATGTTCATGTATTATATTATATTTTGATATTCGATTTGTATAGTTATATTATTCCTTATCAAGTTTATTCATAAATTTGTTAATGTACATATAAAGTATTTACTTTGATATTTATTTTTAAAATTTTTTTTCATCTTTGATATCAAACTGATTTATAGACTTGTATAGCTTTAATATTCATACAAATTTTTTTTTTTGTATTCATTCTGAAGCTAATTTTTTTAATTCTAGGTACGACAGAGTCGTTTCATCTTCCATCACATTTTACATAACCGAAATGGCTATTTAGTTTTCAAAATAAAATGCTCTTTATTGATTCATATTGCCATTCGGATTATATACTTGTATAATGCTAATATTGATATACAGCATTGCCTGCTATTAGTCAGAGAGCATAGGAGCTGAGTAATCTGCTTAATTTGTCATACTTTTGCTTCACTCTGCGATTTTAAATATTGCCATATTTTGGCGGCCTTAGATGGAAACACGTTTACAACCACAATGGTTCGGTTTTATTGGAAATTTGCGAAGCTTTGCGATTAAATGTGCTTTTATGTGAGGCTGCAATTTTTAAGAGAGTTTCGAAAAGGGTCTCTAAAGCGCATCTATACTGTAGTGTAGTACCTATATAGTATTCTCGGCTACTTATTATTGAACTCTTGATGAGTGCTCCGGCTAGACATCAGCGCCTATATGTGGATTAATATATATATATAGCCTTTGTGTGCTTGTTAAAGCGGATGCAAGCACATTGTATACATTGTTCAAATTGTACGTAAACATATATATGAATATATATAGAGCTCTTTAATGCAAAGAATTTTGCTCTAGTTGCTGATAGGCCCCACATGATACAGAATTTGTTACATATGTTATAGCGTGTGTGGCACGCACATCACCCCCCACCCCTCCTTCCTCTTCTATATGCATGAAAAGGCGCGCCACATGACGTCATGTGGCAACCAACAATGAAATGTAATTTGTATTTAGTATGAACGCACTTACCCCTCCGACTAGTCCATATACTAGATACCAAACACCAAAAAAAACTAGAAAGAAACTTTGTATGTTAAATTGCATTTGGGTGTGGGGCGGTGGAAAAGCTCTGTGGCAGCAAAATCAATAGAAGGCGAACTATTTCTTGCCTTCTGTGTTACACTTGTTGATTGGTGTGGCAAAATAGCTCAGAAGTTAACGACTAGCGACTAACGACTATAAACAGCAGCCATAGAAGTGCAAGCAGCCCGATGGGTAGAAGTCGGACAAAACGAATGCTAAACAAGCTGTTGGGGCATTGTGTCTTATGGTAGGGTGCAGAATTTTGCATGTTTACCGTGAAAGACAGCCGTTCAGAACTTTATCGCCCTACCTTAAAATGTGCAAAAAAAAAAAATAATAATAATGTCTCCATTACATAATTCCCATTCCTAATTGGTTGGCGAAAACGAAAAATGTGCGGCCAAGAAAGAGAGAAACACTCGGCTGGTCCCCCCTTTCAAATATAAAATATTTCGAATATGTATTTATAGTTATTATTATATTATTATGAGGGGGGGAGTCTCCACGTGAGACTCTCCCTGATACCTTGTCTGGTATATCAGGATAATATTCGCTTTGTTTCCCAGTTGAAAATTTCATTGATTTTTCATTCCAAAACAGTCAGTGTTCGGTTAATCCTAAGCTAGGCTCTTAAATTCAATAAAGAAACACACACACAGTAAAGCTAGGCTTTCGGATAAGTGATTAAAAATTTTTTGAATAGTCTCTTTTAAGTTATTATTGGATAGGCAAACAATTCGCACAAAATTTCTTTCAATTTAAAAAGTACGCTTCAAACTCATTTTTTGGGAAAACTATAGATTTGTGCTAATTGGTCTTCATTCCAAAAAAATATCAAATTCCAAGCTCGAGTAAATTTGTGTACAAATTATTTGCCTGTCTAAACATAATTATAATTATATCAGAGCTCGTTGATAATTTCTAAGATATCTGCTGATGTGGAAAATTATTCATGTTTCTGGTCGACCATTAGAACAGTTATAAGGTAGTACTATAATATTACTTTTGATCGATGGAATATGAAATTGATGAAAGCTTTGCAGAATTTGCCTGTCATAACCTTACACTCAAGTTAAAATATTATTTCGAAACTACTTAACCATCTTTTATATAAAATTAATGCTAATGCTGATTGAACATTTAATTTTAATCATGCTCCAGCAATTCGACCAATTTTAGTACAAATTATCTGCTAGTCTGACCATTACTGCAATTGTAACAAAATATGTTCAAAATTTCGCAAAATACGGGTTAGAAAATGCAACTCTATAAAGAACGACTTTACTCAAAGTATTCTAAAAAGAAATGTAAACTGCAATAGTTTTAGGATGGCATATCAGTGATACTCAGGCCAACCAAATTTCATAGAGTTCTCTCCCACTTAGCTTTGAAAATTTAAAAGTTTCTAAAAGAATTCGCCGTTTTCTTTGCATTCAACATGTTGAGTAATCTGTTAAGAATCTAATTTCGTTATCAGTTTGCTAAACAGAGTCAACAAAAACTGTAAGCAAAGTCAAGGGGGAGAATACAATGTCCACTATTTATATAATTGCTAAGTGCGGTTTCTGCTTCCACAAAAATAATACCCTTCCTTTCTCTACATTTCATTACAGCTAACCCCTGAATTGAATTCAGAGATGCAAACTTGAGCTGTCGCCTGACCATTTAGAATGTTGTGAGACTTTCGTTAAGGTCGGACCATAATACATCACAATACATATGCATAGAATTTTGAAACGATAGCGGCATATTTTCATATAAAAACCATTAACGAAAAACCCCTAAAAAATGGCTGAAAATACCATTGAAACGACCTCTAGCAAAGGATTAGAAGAGAATTCCGCACACATATTGACGCCTCATAATGGCGCAGTGCGAAAGTTGGCGCCGGAAAGAGGGCCCAACAGTAAACAGAGCTTCCAGGCGAACAATAGGCACGAGAATGTGCCCCCCGTTGGGCGCCATAAGGAAGATTGGGAGACAATTGTCTTGGGCAAGAACAAATTGAAACGCAAGAAGAAGCTAAGCGCTTCATTGACCTCAGTGGGGGATACGGTTAATCAGGAGAAACGCACACGCATCGAGGGCATCCAATTGAATTGTCGCGGCAAGTTGCGCCCCAGAGATACAAACACATTTGAGCATTCGGCCCACAATTATAATAGCGCTGCGACAAAGGTGCCCGCAAACAAACAAGCCTCCCCCACCAAGAAAGTGGAACGCCCGGTCCTCGTAGGCGGCGTTATCACAACCAATGTATCGAATACCACACCGCAGCGCTTCAAGCGCAAAATGCAGGAAAGTCTGGACACCATCCAGAAGCTAAACGCCCTCACCGAGCAGCTACGACTGGAAATCAACGAACTAAAGTCCAGTCTAATAACCGAACGAAGCGCCGTAAGGGCACTGAGGTGAGCAAAAATTTATACTTACCCGTACTTCTACTTATTTATCCAAGACTAAGCGGAGGATAGGAAAGTAAATGCAACTCTACCTCTATTTTTTCAGAAAGATATTTCTTGTAATCACATAATAGATATTTTTATAAAGTCAAATACAATTTCATAATTATATTTTATTTTAGGGCGCAAAACGATGCCGATGGTCGCAAATGGAGAGCCGAGGTGAAGAAACTTCAGAAAAGCAATCCGCCCACACCACAGAAGAAGGCCCAAGACTTGGCCAACGGAGAGTTGAGCACAAGCACGAGTATATCGGCCGATGGCCTCATTAACTATGAAATTCAAAGACTGACAAACGAGATTGCCGCGCTAAAGGAAGCGAATAGAACCAAAGAGGAGAAATGCCAGGTAGGTGTGCATGAAGGCTTGAGTTGCCAGCATGTCTTGTGATCGTCTAGTTGCGTTTGAGTCGTTCCCATAGAAATACTAGCAGCGCTAGTGCCTCGCCCACCGCCCACAAACAGAATACGGCATGCAGATGCTCGATTTTGAGGACCACAGGACTGTCGTCAGTGTTTTGGCGACGGCGTCTATGGACGACCTTGGCGCCAGCATTGAGGAAAATCGAATTCATAATGCGATCCCAGTAGCGCTCGAAGCCAAACTCGTGGGCACTGCGTATTAGTCTGTTCAGATAGCCCAGATAGGGGGAGCCATAGGGCACGATGTAGACAGCATGGAAGGGCACCAGGCAGTTCTCCATGAGGTGGAAGAGGGGCCGGCCTCGTTCCGTGTGTCTTCTTTCCTGCACACGAAACTTGGCGATGTGATATTTTTCCAGATAGGCATAGGAGAGATCGTTTCGCCGCAGAGTCCTGAGCAGCACCATATCCGGCACGGGTAGCATCAGCTGCCGGACTCTGCCCTCCAGTTGGTGGTCGCGCAGCAGAAAACGTTCAATGTGCTTCAGATGACGGGGCCGGGTGAGCAAACGATACTCCGATTGGGCCAAGGTGGGCAGATCGTTGATGTCCGGCAGATTCTTGTGGGAGACCAGCATGCTGGTCAGATTGCCCTTGAAGGCCGTGCAGATGAGCATGCTGAAGTAGAGCCAGAAGACCAAGAAGAGACGCATCGAGGAGCGACATGGAACGCTCGAGAGCGGCAGAGCATGGCCGAGCATGCAGCCAAATATGTGTAGACCCACGCCAATGCCATGCCCGTGATGGGTCCAATAGCAGAAGATGTTAGCCAGCAGAAGGCTGGCCAGCAACGACAGCCAAACCAGACACCCAAACGAACGGAACATGTTCCAGAAAGTCGGCGCCGTATCCGCCTTCGGCACAATCACACACAAATCATCGCGATTGTGGGCGACCGTGAACTCCACATGCTTGCCAAACGACTCCGGGGAGAGGAATCGTATGTTCATCGCCACATCGTCGTACTCCTTGGCTATTTCCATAAAACAGATGTCGGCACTCAGATTGTGCTGCCCATCCAGCTGCACGCGACTCACCATGCGCGTCGCATTCAAACGCTCCGCTATATACTCCGACATCAGGCCATCTGTGCCATAAATCTGACCCCTTGACCCATAAATGGAGCGCACCTCGTCCGAATAAATGCACATCCGCAGCGGCTTCCGCTGCATATTGGGAATGACGGTGGGGAAAAGTGTTCGCAATTTCGGCAACTCCGCTCCGTAACGCACCTCGATCAGGTAATTGTCATTGAAGGGATTATAGCGATAGATTTGCAGACGCTCTGCCCGCCAATATATAATCACAATGTTGAGCAACCAGATCTGCCAGAATTGCTTGAAAGTGGACCGCAGCCAGGCGTCCGACACATTCTCCGAGTTACGGATCAACAGAAAGACGTGCGACAGATGTTTCGCTGCCGATTTCTTGCGAAACAAAGATAACGCCAACGGCTGTAATATATCGTTCTGAATCATCAGCATATACATCAGAACGCCGTCGTCCTTGATTGCTTCCAGCGGACCCGAGCGGTTTCGATTTCTAGAAGGTAGAGAGGTGGAGAAAGAAACATTTAAGGTGCGCGTTCTTCAATTTAAGGTGTTTATAGAATTATTTTCTTCAAATACGTTCAATGAAGTAATACAACAAAGCTTAGTTGGGTTTCCAGAGATTTCCTAGCTATTAAGTGTGGAAATAATGTGTGAGAATTAATTTTTTTCCTGTCGATTTGTTTAAATGAAAGAATTCGGAATCGACACAGAAGAAGACTTTAGAATAACGAAGAAAGTTCATTTAGATAAAAATTACATGTTTTAGTGAGAGGTTATACAGTTTCACAAATCGTATAACCAGAAATTACCAAAATATTAGTGTTAATATTATGATACACATCTAAAACGAGTGACTGTAACAATTAGAAGAAGAGGTTAGGGGAAATAAGAAAGGATATGAAATAATAAACAAATCGTTATACTACTTATAATTTAGAAAATATAAGGTGCAAGTATCGGAGACGCATAGATATAGATGACGCATATAGATACACCTAATTCTGTTTTAAAACGGTAGATTGGTTCCAGAAACAACCGTGTAAAAAATCATATGCAAAAAGAGGTGATTGGTTCCTTATCTCTAAAGAAATATATATGCAATTCTTAATTTTCAAACCGTGTTATATCAGAATCGTGTAAAAACAGAATAAGGTGTATATGACTTTCTCATTCATATGAACGCCCCAAACTTAGAAAATTTGTATTAGGATCTTTGTAGATTTGTTATTTTTCTGTTCTATACTAAATGTTCTATAGAAGATGTGATTTTTTAGAAGCTTATCCATAACCGAACAGTATCGATCTGCTTTAAATGGCTTTAAAGCTAAGACTAGGGCTAGTTTGCGAACTCTTCGTCCCTCATCTTTAGTAGATTTCTTGAATTATTCACGGGAAAATATGTCACAGATTTTTAAAAGGTACGAAAATACAGTTTTTAAGACGGGCTTTGAGTCGGGAACATACTAAATAGCTTTGAATACTTTCGTTCAATTCAAAGCAGGTTTTTCACCTTTCGAGTACAGGATTTCAGGACGAATTCAATCAACACATGCGTCAAACATAAAAGAAATCCTTGCAATTCTTTAATTTGATTTTTAGCTTATTATCAAGTGTGTAATAGGAAGTTAGTGTTTTTGGAATTTTCTATTCAGAAAGGATATTTTTAGTACCTTAATGATATGTAGGACATGCCGCATTGTGTCACTTGCTGCAGTATTTCCCTTGTCTGGTGCCTGGAGGTTTCGTTCTCGAAGTACACAATGAGCTCCTTAATGCTTGCCTGGCACAGCAAGCTGCTTACTTGCAACACCAACCCGGATTCCAGGTGGCTCTCCAATGGGATCTTAGTGTTGGCATCAGCCCCAGAAATAGTTAGAACTGATGTAACCAATAGCAGAATTATGCGATATGCAAACATTCTGCTTGGACTGGGATGTGTTGACTGTTCCGGAACTGTCGCTACGCCTTTGTTTTTATAGCTTTGCAAAAAAATAAACACCGAAAGCTAATTCCATTAATGCGCACTGTTTGCCATTTCCGAATGACAAGGCGCTGAAAGGACATTCGGCAAACAACATCATACCATGTGTGACTCGTTTAGTTAATGGAAATGTATGCGTTTTTTTCTGTTTTCTTTTTTCTTACAAAGTGCAACTAACATTCCATCGCTTCGTGTTGGCCTGTTGGCCGTTGTTTTTGTTGCTCTTGTTGTTCTTGCTATTTGTCAGCCGTCTCATGTGCCCCCCTGACACAATGCCCCCCTTTACGATCTATTGCAGATAAATGGCGAGGCTGATAGACGCAAGGCCGCCGATATGCGTACATTAAAAAATGCATATGAAATCCGATTGACTCAAATACAGAAATCGGCCAAAATTGAAATAACACGTTTGGTAAGTTTCCGAGATCTGGGACTGCAACAGCAGCTTAGAGTGGCAAGCGGTTTACTTTTTAAAAACTGTTACAACAACAAAACTATTAAAAAATATGCAATTTGTGCGTAACACTGCGCAACAAACAAAAGTTTCGGAGTTTGTCAAATGATGGTCTTTGGCTTTAAATTAAATTACTTCTCAGAATAGTTCTAAATTTTTCGAGTGGAATCTGTTCAAACATTGCTCTTGAAATCTATTATCTATTTCATTTTGTTAATTATTTTTAAAGGTATTGACTGATTTTCATTTTTTTATGGATCCCCAGAAGCTAACATCTTTGTCTTCCTGAGCTATGTTTAATAGAGATATATATAGATATACTTATTTATGTACAAAAACTTGATTAATTATACTTCTATTAAAAGGACGTTTAATATTTCAAAATTTATATTCGAGCATAATTTATTAAGGGTCTTTATTAATAATTCGAAAACAAAAATATAAAATAAAGCAAATAACATGATTGATTGTTAGTTGGGATCAAGACGCAAATGATTAGAGAAATTTAATTAATATTAAAAAATTATTTATTTTAAACTAAGATGATTTCAGATAGAAAGAAAGAGACATTAATTATATTTACGTTTACTCTGTAACGTAGAAGCTTCTGAACTGAAAATTAGTTAAAATTTTGCTACGGAGCATGTTAGGAGAAAAAGCACAGAGAAACTATGTTTAAAAGGTTTTAAAGCTGCCACATAATTGAGCATAATATATTTAAAAATGGGCTATAATTTTTGTTCAATTAAGTTTCAATATTAACTATCTTTATGCTTAGTTATTTCTCTCCTAAAATTAAAATAAATACATATATAAAAATGCCAGCTTAGATAAACACTGCAAAGGTTTGCAATTTTCGAAATAAGTTAATGAGGTTTGGCCAAAAGATTAAAAACGAACGAAGACAGTTCGAATTCATTTGATTTGGAGTTTGTAGAAATATCTGAGATTTCCTGTAATGACGACGACTTACTCGAACAGTACAAAAATTTCTCATAATGCCTTCATTCACTGCTCGCAGCTCGTTAGTTGTGATAATATGGGCTTTATGACGTAATTGAAAAATGGAATGGCTTAAATTAACATGGACATCGTAAAAGTGTAATTACATTAACGCGCCGACTTCCGCAAAAAGGTGTAAAGGTGTATCTTTAAGTAGATATTTAAGATTCAAAGAAACAACTATTTGGCCTCTTGACTTGCTTAAATGAGTCGTTTTCTGCTTTGTGTTATTTTTTTTGCAGCTAGAGGAAATCAAGACCAAAGAACGTAATATAGGACAACTTAAGAAGGACCTGCAAGTGTTGCACAACAGCAAGAAGCAGAGTGAGCAACTACAACACCAGCAACAACAAGAAAAACAAACTAAAATATCAACGACGAAAACAAAAACGAACGAAAAGCCAAAGAAACCCACGAATGCAATCAAAACCAAAAACGAAACAGATACAAGCCAGGCTCAAGTTACAAGTGAGGTGAGTACAGCCATAGCTTTAAACAGTGCTGCCAACTCGGCCTATTTCCCGCTAGTTCTGATGTGTCTGAAAGCTGAAAACATATAAAATGAGACTGTCGGGAATTATAGCATTATTCGAAATTAAACTGTTACTAATGATCTTAGAATTAAGAGTCGTATACAGCCATAGCTTTAAACAGTACTGCCAACTCGGCTTATTTCCCGCTAGTTCTGATGTGTCTAAAAGCTGAAAACATATAAAATTGAGACTGTCGGGAATTATAGCATTATTCGAAATTAAACAGTTACTAATGATGTTAGAATTAAGAGCCCATTTTTTTAGCTAATTCTGCGGGTTTTGGAATGCTGTAGAGTTAGAGCAACATTGGTAATGGCGGGAATTCAAGCGTTATTAAAAGTTAAACTATTTGTTTAACCGAACAGCAACAAAAAGGCCTTGGTATTTAGAATGTCTTGTCAGCTTGACATTTAATTTTATTGCCAGAGAGTGCTGGGTCTGCTGGAATGCTGGCTGCGGGAAAGATCTTAGTATAAACAGATCTGAGCTTTCCATTCTGGTCTTGGTAAAGTCAAGTGCTCATTTAATGAATTAATATTAACTTCGATCCGACTCAAATGCTTTTTTTTTGTCTGCAGTATTTGGTTGTTATCGTGTCATTTACTTAACTGTTTTTTTAAACTTTGAATGGGGAGTTGCGAAAGAAAATATTGTAGATCCGAAAATTATCACATTTAGCAGTTATTGTTGTATGTGTTCAACAAAAGTATTGTGTGAAAGACATTGGTTTCAATTTCCATCACGTTGTACAGAAAAACGAAGCAATATTTTAAAGTCGTAGAATAAGTAATGAATGAATTCGCTTGAACTATAAATCGAATGAGGTTACGAAGTTGGACTCTATTCTATGAAGTTCGAGGTATTTCTGGAGTGGATTTCAATTTGTCACCATTTTTGTCGTCAGCTATTTGCGATGTTGTCAAACAAATTATTTAATGCAACTAAACAAAGATCTCACAATACAATACTAAAACGTTAACAGTTAATGGTCGTTTTGTCCTCACAAAATTATGTGGACTACTCCAGTTTATATCAATTTGAATTGCTCCAAATTTAAGGGAAACCTCTTTTTGGGATTATTAACAATGATTAATCTGCTTTTATGCTCTTTGAATTACAATTTGTTGAGCCCTTTCTAGATTGTTTTTAATTGCTAATCTGGCTTTTTACGACGCTCATAATTGTCATCACTAGCTGTATGAGCAAGTGTGTGTGTATGTGTGTGAGTGTGAGGGAGGCAGGCAGCATAGGATAATGGAATGGATTGTGCATTGTGTGTGCTGGTGGGGTTGCCAGCACTTGAACTTGCACCGACGACAGGTAGAAAAGTAAAAAACTTGCTGCTGCGACCATAAAAAGTTAACATTGTCACATACACATGTATGTATGTTGTGTGGCAGTGTGTGTGTGTGTGCGTGTGCGTGTGTGGTAAATGTCTGGGGTGGTGTGGAGTGTGGGGCACACACCTCTGGCTTGATCTATGATATAATTTGGTTAAAGTTATGATTAAGTGCGGCGACGATGGCAACAATCGTCGGCATATTTGCGGCACAGCCAACGTGCGACAATGCGAACGATTGCCGTTGTGTTGTTGCAGACAACAATCTCTGCAACGATGGCGATAAAAAAGAAACAAAACAAAAACCTGCCAGATAGACGCTTGAAATGTGAGCTAGCCAAGTATAAACGGCATATTGAATGCAGCAAAAGCGGCTGGCGATAAATAAAAAATACAAAAAAAGGCAGCGGAAAAAACAACAATGGTGCTGCAACTGCAACGCAAGTGTTGCAAGTCAATCTGCCGACAAGAGAGCGAGAGCGCGGCATGTGGGGGGGAAAAACAAACACTCTCAGCCGCAAGCCGGTTTTCACACACACTCTCACAATAGAGATGGGTATGGGTCGTGTTTTTCTTCCTGTCTACACTTACGCGCTCGTGCCTTATGTTCCACATCTACAAATATCCTAAAACGAAATGAAATTTCGAATAGCACTTTTAAAAAAGTATTTTTTTTTTAATTGTCCAATAGAAAAGGATGTAATATTGTCGAGAATTGTATGCTGATTGGAATGATTGCTAGGACAGATGATGTTTTTAAAGCTTAGAATAAGACACATTTATTGTTTACTGGAAACAAATTATTTTAAAAAACTCAATTTGAATATTGACAATATGATGGATATGACAATACCAGCTAGTATTTTCCATTTCTCTTTAAACAAAAATGAATTTAGTAGAATCTTAACTAAATTTTCATTTTCTATTAACTTTTTCATCATGAAATTGGTAATTTTTCAGAATTGATGTTAAATTTTTAAACATATCTGCAGTTGCTGGCTTCCAAATACAAACTCCATGAACGTGTTCTTTGGTTCTTCTTACAAGTGCATGGCGTGGCCGCAGCGTGTAGTGGCGCGAATGCCGGCTCGCTGCCATATCTAGCCTCACACTCTTCTTGTTCCACACATGCACTCGCACTCACACTCACTTTCTCTGAGTTTGGACGAGAGTGAAGAGCGCAGACGCGACGTCGCGTCGCTGTCGCAGTCGCGGTCGCTGCTGCCGTTGCCGTTGCTGTTGCTGTTAACTCGCATGAATGGGGGCCGAACGAGCAACCGACCGGGCGAATTAAGCCAAGTCAGTTCAGCTCAGTTCAGTTCAGTTTTGAGTTCGCAGGCGTCGCAGGTGCGCATGGCACGTTCAGAGTGCGTCGAAATTGTTGAAGTTGAAGTCGAAGTCTCGTTTTCGCCGTCGTGTGGCAGTCGCAGTCGTTGTTGTTGCTGTGTCAAGTGTACTGAAGATTTTTTGTGGGCTAAAAATAATCCAAAAAATTGTAATGAAACGAAATGAGAAATGTGTTTGAATGTAAAGAGTTCAACGAGTGTTTTTATTATTATTGTTATTATTGTTGGTGTTATTGTTGTTGGCATTGTGCATAATTAGGTGAAATTTGTTGTAGCTAGCATTCATTTTTTTCTGCCTCTCTTCAAATGCCGCAAATAGTAAAAAGTAATACAAACTTACATACGGAGTACGAGTATAACACAAGTGCATTGTAACCCACACATACTTGTATGTACATACTTGTGCTGTCGTTGTCCCCAATCACTCGGTGTGCGATTGTTGTTGCTGCTTTGAAATCGACAACACCAACACCAACAGCAACAACAACAACAATGGCAACTCACGCATTTACAGTTGATCTTTCTCTTTTCTTTTGTAATACCAAAAAAAAGTTGAACTTTTTTGTTTGACTTCCATTTTGTGTTGTTTTTTGTTTGCTGGACACATGAATGCATATAATTTTCTCCAAATTTGCACGGATTTGTTGTTATGATTAGCAAACATTGAAATTAATTGTTCAGCACTGTTGTTGTTGTTGTTGTTGTTGTTTGTGGCCGTTCGTTCCAGTGATTGAATTCGATTTTACAGTTCATTAAGTTGCCACCATATGAGGCACTGTAATTGGTTTATTGATTTCAACTAAATTATGCTACCCAACCGGGAATGCTGTAGCTGCTGTTGTTATTGTCGTTGTTGTTGTTGCATTAGAATGTGTTGTGTGCTCTGCGAGGCATGAAAATATTGTACGCAGAGATACAAGATACAAGATGCGAGATACGCGAGATACGCGATTTGCATGCCAGCATTGAATGGCAAAAGCACACTCTGCTGTCGAACCAGTTGTTTCGCATAGCTTCGGCATCATTGGATGATATAGTCTGATACCAATATTTAGACTGCCAGCAGTCGCTTTTGATATATACACACAAACACACGCACATAATCGTACTCGTACAACGTTGAAGCGCGGAAGTCGAATTCTTAAACGGTCTTTAAAAAGTTTGCAACAATTATGCGCAAGTGATGGGGTTTTTCCTCTAAAACTTTGATACAGTTATATACGAGTATCTGAAAGTTCGCTTATAAATTGGTTAATTAGTGTGGGAACTAATTGCAATCAAGTTAATTGATGCCATTAGACTGAAAGAGTTCAGCTTTCAGTGGAAATTTTAATGCAAATATTACGTTAATGCATAAATATAAAGTTAGCATTACAAATTAAGTGTGGGAAAAAAACTTAATGCTAGCGGTTTCTGAATTATTATATTTTCTTCTTTTTAATAATTTATCATTTTGAATTCAGTTTCAAATTTAGAAATGGTAAAAAAAAGGAAATTCACACTTATTTGGCCTTTTTTGTTTCAAAGCTTTAATTGTACTATAAATAAAGAAAATATATATGCAATTATCTCTCAAATTCGCAAATGTTTTCCCAGTATATGCATATTACATATTGTTTAATCATTATTAATCAGTAGATACTTGGCCCTTTCCTCAACTAAAGCTTCTACTCCCCCTGGTTTCAATTACATTCTGAACACGTTTTGGACCAGAGTCTTGTTCCAAAAAAACTAGCCTTGGAAATAGTACCTACCCGCACGGTTTTAGGTCCATAATTTGAGGTAGCCAGTCCAAAGTAGTAACGCCAACATCTTCTATAAATGTGGTTATTATTTTGCTGATGATTCTCCAATCAGTCCAAACAGTAGGTACTTCCACCTTTCCTCAGACTAAGCCTCCATCTCATTTTTCAAAATCAAATTACTCTTATTAAGAAATGGAAACTTGAGTCAAAATAGCAATAAATAACAATTCTTATGAATGAAAGTGCAATACAAAGTAATAGAAATAAAATACTGTTTAAGTAAATAAATATTTTGTTTTCGAAAAAAATATTAAATAAATAGTAGAGGAATTAACTTCCTTAATTGACTATTACTATTATTATTTTAGTCTCTAAACCTAGCTTCTTTTCCTTCTTTTCCCTCTTCCCCTTTAATTGATTTAAATAGTAAAAGACAAAGACTAATACAGATGGAATGCTCTTTAGGTTGCTTTAGAAAAAGTGGTGAGCAAATCAGTTGAATTGAAGTAT